TCGTGTAGCACTCGGAACGTAGATCTACGTTCGCTCGCGTAGTGCTCTGAATGTAGATCTACGTTCGCTCGCATAGTGCTCTGAACGTAGATCTACGTTCACTCGCATAGTGCTCTGAACGTAGATCTACGTTCGCTCGCGTAGTGCTCTGAACGTAGATCTACATTCGCTCGCGTAGTGCTCTGAACGTAGATCTACGTTCGCTTGCATAGTGCTCTGAACATAGATCTACGTTCGCTCACGTAGTGCTCTGAACGTAGATCTACGTTCGCTCGCGTAGTGCTCTGAACGTAGATCTACGTTTGCTCGCGTAGTGCTCTGAATGTAGATCTATGTTCGCTCGCATAGTGCTCTGAACGTAGATCTACATTCGCTCGCGTAGTGCTCTGAACGTAGATCTACGTTCGCTCGCATAGTGCTCTGAACATAGATCTACGTTCGCTCGCGTAGTGCTCTGAACGTAGATCTACGTTCGCTCGCGTAGTGTTCTGAACTTAAATCTACATTCGCTCGCGTAGTGCTCTGAACGTAGATCTACGTTTGCTCACATAGTGCTCTAAACGTAGATCTACATTCGCTCGCGTAGTGCTCTGAACGTAGATCTACGTTCGCTCGCGTAGTGCTCTGAACGTAGATCTACGTTCGCTCGCGTAGTGTTCTGAACGTAGATCTACGTTCGCTCATGTAGTGCTCTGAACATAGATCTACGTTCGCTCGCGTAGCGCTCTGAATGTAGATCTACGTTTGGACAGTTTAAGGGTTAAAACCACAAAATCACTGCTTGAATATTACCTGAATATTTGTCTAACTGATATTATGCCATATGTGATTATAATACAGTGGACCCCCGCATAGCGAACGCCTTGCATAGCGACCATTCCGCATAGCGAACGCTTTGTCCGCTAAAATTTTGCCCCGCATAGTAGACAAAAACCCGCACAGCGAACTTCGTTCGAGACGCGTCCAATGTGGGCCCTCAGCTAGCCTCACATGTGCCGCCCGTCCCATTGTTTACCAGCTAGCCTCCGCGGTAACATTCAAGCATACACTCTGAATATTTCGTATTATTACAGTGTTTTCGGTGCTGTTTGTGGAAAATAAGTGACCATGGGCCCCAAGAAAGCTTCTAGTGCCAACCCTACACCTCAAAGGGTAAGAATACCCATTGAAATTAAGAAAGAAATCATTGATAAGTATGAAAGTGGAGTAAGTATCACCGACCTGGTCAGGTTGTACAAGAAACCAAAATCAACCATCTCTTCTATTGTGGGCAAGAAAACGGCAATCAAGGAAGCTGTTGTTGCCAAAGGTTTAACTGTGTTTTCGAAACAAAGATCGCAAGTGATGGAAGATGTTGAGAGACTCTTATTGGTGTGGATAAATGAAAAACAGCTAGCAGGAGATAGCGTCTCTCAAGCGATCATATGTGAAAAGGCTAGGAAGTTGCATGACGATTTAATTAAAAAAATGCCTGCAACTAGTGATGATGTGAGTGAATTTAAGGCCAGCAAAGGTTGGTTTGAGAGATTTAAGAAGCGTAGTGGCATTCATAGTGTGATACGGCATGGTGAGGCTGCCAGTTCGGACCACAAAGCGGCTGAAAAATATGTGCATGAATTCAAGGAGTACATAGAAACTGAAGGACTGGAACCTGAACAAGTGTTTAATTGTGATGAAACAGGCCTGTTCTGGAAGAAAATGCCAAGCAGGACCTACATTACTCAGGAGGAAAAGGCACTCCCAGGACATAAGCCTATGAAAGACAACCTTACTCTTCTCATGTGTGCCAATGCTACTGGTGATTGCAAAGTTAAGCCTTTATTAGTGTATCACTCTGAAACTCCCAGAGCGTTCAGGCAAAAGAATGTCCTCAAGGATAATTTGTGTGTGCTGTGGAGGGAAAAACAGTAAGGCATGGGTCACTAGGGAATTTTTCTATAACTGGTTACACCATGCATTTGCCCCCAATGTGAAAGATTACCTAACTGAAAAGAAATTAGACCTTAAGTGCCTCCTGGTGTTAGACAATGCCCCTGGTCATCCTACAGACGTGGCAGAGCGACTTTATGGGGACATGAGCTTCATTAAGGTGAAGTTTTTGCCTCCTAATACCACTCCTCTCCTGCAGCCCATGGACCAGCAGGTCATTTCCAACTTCAAGAAACTGTACACAAAAGCTCTGTTTCAAAAGTGCTTTGAAGTGACCACAGACACTGGATTGACTCTAAAAGAGTTTTGGAAGGATCACTTTAATATCCTCAGTTGTGTAAACCTTATAGGTAAGGCTTGGGAGGGAGTGACTAAGAGAACCTTGAACTCTGCTTGGAAGAAACTGTGGCCAGAATGTGTAGACAAAAGGGATTTTGAAGGGATTGAGGCTAACCCTGAGAGGAGTAGTATACCAGTTGAGGAATCAATTGTGGAATTGGGGAAGTCCTTGGGGTTGGAGGTTAGTGGGAGGATGTGAAGAGTTGGTGGAGGAGGACAATGAAGAACTAACCACTGATGAGCTGATAGATCAACTTCAAGAGCAAGAGGCCAGACCTGGGGAAACTGGGTTTAGAGGAGGGGAGAGAGAAATTGAAGGAATTGCCTACTTCAAAGATTAAGGAAATGTGTGCAAAATGGCTTGAAGTGCAAACCTTTTTGATGAAAATCACCCTCACACAGCTATTGCAAGCCGTGCTGGTGACTATTACAATGACACTGTTGTGAAACACTTTAGGAAAGTCATAAAGGAACGAGAGGTACAGGCCACTATGGACAGATATGTTGTGCGAAAGAAGTCCAGTGACTCTGAAGCTGGTCCTAGTGGCATTAAAAGAAGAAGGGAAGTAACCCCAGAAAAGGATTTGCTACCTCAAGTCCTAATGGAAGGGGATTCCCCTTCTAAACACTAACACTCTCTCTCCCCTCCTCCCATCCCATCAATCATCACCAGATCTTCAATAAAAGTAAGTGTCATGTAATTGTGCATGCCTTTTTCAGTTTGTGTGTACTAAAATTAACATTTTTTTGTGGTAAAAAAATTTTTTTCATACTTTTGGGTGTCTTGCACGGATTAATTTTATTTCCATTATTTCTTATGGGGAAAATTAATTCGCATAGCGAACATTTCGCATAACGACCAGACCTCTTGCACGGATTAAGTTCGCTATGCGGGGGTCCACTGTACTACATTTATTGTACATGTATTCACCAATATAACATTTACTTACTAACTACTGAAACCTGTTAACATGCCTCAAAGACCAGGCTAATCAGGAAATAGAATAAATAGGAATACTAAATAAAAAATAAAGTAGATATATGTAAGTCGAGAAAGAAACTTAATGGAAAATGGAATTAGATGCATATTGTGGGAGAGAACTGTTATATATACACACACACAAAAATTACCAAACTGGTAAGGACGATACAATTCTATCCAGGATTATAACTTCTTAGAGAAGTTGTATCCAGGATTATAACTTCTTAGAGAAGTTGTATCCAGGATTATAACTTCTTAAGAGATGAAGTGCAAAAGATGGTTGAAAGGGAAGATGTGATCAACTTGGAGCTTTTAAAGTCACTGAGAATTTGCAGATAGTATATGAGAGAGTTTCATTATCTCATATACTGACACTGGACTTAATACACAGAGTTCACATCACAAATATTAGTAGCATTATGATAGAAATGTGTAGTGTACACAAAGTCTATGCTAAATATTAAACATTCATTTTAACTTGTTATTAAGAGTTACATCGCTATACTAGTTAACAACAGCAAAGAATGACGTACAAGTTGATAAGTACAATGAGTCCTCGACTTACAAACACGCTGAGAATTTTTTGTATTGTGTATAATATCATTATTGTGTATCATTATTACACACAATTCAGGTCCCTAACATGTTTGTAAGTTGAAGACTTACTGTAGCTGATGCATCCAGGACTGACTGTTGCAAATGTACCTTAGAAGAAAACACAGAATGGGTGGGGTTAGAACCCATGGCTTGGAGATTTACCACGCCAGTGTGTAAGCCGCTGGGCTAGCTGCCTACGATAAAATTCATCCAATTAAGTGCCCACGCTAACCTCCTTATGGTGTATACACTTAACTGGATAAATCTCGTTGTAGCCAGCTGGCCCAGTGGCTTATTCACTGACCTGGAGTTTTACCACTCACTAGTCATGGGTTCTAACTCCACCTGTGCTGTGGTTTCTTTGTAGTCATATTATTATGAGTTATCAGGTATCAAAATTTGTAAGACTTAGTTGCAGATGGCAATATCAAGTCTTTGTCAATACTTGATAAAAGTCAATTCTGCGTGAAACATCATCTAAAATGACTTGCACTGTATTGTGTGCATTTATGCCAACTTATTGGCTTCTTGCCCCAGTCACCTATGTTAAGTCTTACTAAGTCACGGTCCACACCGAACACTATTTAGCTCACTAACACTGCTCAAGTCTACAGTGAGATTTACCGAAAATAATTATCAAAGAAGATGGTCGCCGGTATAATACTGCTCCTGCTGAAGCTGGAAAGTTTAGCATAACCTGTGAGCCAATACAAGTTGAAAACAAAAACCTATTACCTTCAAAATGTGGCACATTAAATGCTGTAAAACAATCCCAATGGTTTGGGTGTTTAATTAAGTTTATGCTGAAGGCAAAGAAATTTACGAAAGTTTTTCTACAAGTGGAGGATTAATTTCAAGCAAACTTTATTTGTATAAAAACAAGAATTCTGATTCAAGTGGAATCAATTTCAACCCTGTAAGATTATTATTGTATAGATTTATTTTCTGATTAAACATGCTTGAGTGTAAGGGAGGGTATTATTATTATTATTATTATTATAGTAGTATTCATGGACAAGCATTAAACTAGTAAAGGTTAGGAAAACCTTGGCATGAGGAAGGAAAGTTGGATCCAATTCCTTGAATCAAAAGTCTTTCACTAGCATCAAGCACCCCCATGAAGGAAAGAGAGGTTATAACGATGGATTCTCACCTGTGCATTCCCCCTCTAACAGGAGTGTTCGTTGCGGTGATTGCTTCACGGATTTCATTATACTTCTTGGATAGTGATGTTACCGCCGACTTCATGCTACTGAGGCCACCTGATATCAGTTCGTTCTTGCGGTAATTGAAGTTTCCTGGGCTGAAATATTACTGGTAATATTTAGACAGTGAACCCTTGTATGACAATATATTAGTACTGCAGCTGTGCTAAACAGCATTTGTGGTACTAACAGATGTCATTCACATTTCCACACATGTTTATTGCCCCAACCTATGTAACTTATGCTGAAGCTATTTACTGCTTCAATCTATACAACTTGTGCATAGGCTGGCAAATACTGAATCAGACACAGGGATAGAGTAAGCTTTATATTTAATGCCGTTACACTGTGCGTGGAGCTCTGTCAAAGCTCTGCCTGCAGCAGAAAGTTCAATAAAAAAATACTATACATCTTGTATTAACCCTTAAACGGTCCAAACGTATATATGTTCACATGCATAGCGCCCCAAATGTATACATACGTTTTATTTTTCCTGCCTCCAAATTTGGCACGATTGGCCTGAGATGCCTGGTCAGCACAGAACTGGTCTTAACACTCAGTGTGTGTGCAGTATTAAAAAAATCTTGGACCACTTAGTACCTTGTGGGAGCGCCAGTTAAATTGAGTGCCAGCTAGAGCAAACAGTGAGGCAAACACCAAGGATTCACTGATGTAATGTCATATTAACACTTCTCTTTTAAGAGGAAAGTGATGTTAACCCCAAGTTTAGGGTCTGTCAATCTCTGTCTATCTTTGTCTATCTCTGTCTATCTGTCTCTGTCTCTATCTCTATCTGTCTCTGTCTCTGTCTTTGTCTATCTCTATCTGTCTTTGTCAATCTGTCTCTGTCTATCTGTCTCTGTCTATCTCTATCTATCTGTCTCTATCTGTGTCTGTATCTGTCTCTGTCTTTGTCTATCTCTATCTGTCTCTGTCTTTGTCTATCTCTATCTGTCTCTGTCTGTGTCTGTATCTGTCTCTGGCTTTGTCTATCTGTCTCTGTCTATCTCTTTCAATCTGACTTTGTCTATCTCTGTCTCACAGGTACACATAAATACAAGTACAGTGGTCCCTCGCTTTTCGTAGTTCTCGGCAATCGTAAATTTCACCAATCATAGGGGTATTTTCGTATAAACATGGACTCGCTTTTCATAGGTTGACTCGCGAATAGTAGTTCGTCTGGGACGCGTACGCACAGTGTAAGCCCGGGCGGCGTCCCTACCCAGCCAGTCTGGCATTGTGAAATTAAGAGACATGTGCAACATCTGGGTATCTTTATTGTACACGTTTCGCCATCCAGTGGCTTTATCAATACAAATTTCATCTTGTCGGTATTATATACCATTCTTGCACAGTCTGGCATTGTTTACCAGTGAGTGAAGGTCCCCTCAAGTGCTCCTACGAAATATTTCATAATATTCCATTCATTTTAGTGCTTGCAATTACTAAATAAGCTACCATGGCTCCAAAGAAAGCTCCTAGTGCCAAGCCTGTGGTAAAGAAGGTGAGAAATATGTACAGTGACAAAGTCTTGGGCCATTTTCGGGAAGTGTTAAAGAGACGCCAGAAACAGAGCTCTCTCCACAGTTACTTTGTGAGACAGGACTAGAGTGACTCTCAAGGTGGTCCTAGTGGCATTAAGAAACAGAGAAGAGAAGCAACCCCAGAGAAGCAATTGGTACCTGAGGTGTTGCTGGAAGGGGATTCCCCTTCCAAACTGTAAACAATCCAATCTCTCTCCTCCTCCAGTCTCCCATACACTAAGAAGAATCTCCAATAAAGGTAAGTGTTATGCTGTTAATGTTTCATTCATCATTTCCCATTGTATTGTTTATGTACTATATGTATATTTCATGTAAAAAATTTTTTTGTTTTAATACTTCTGGGTGTCAGGAACGGATTAACTGTATTTACATTATTTCTTATGGGGAAAATTGATTCGCAAATCGTAAATTTCGTTTATAGTAACGGCTCCAGGAACGGATTAATTACGAAAAGCGAGGGACCACTGTATATGTAGTATAAATTACCTAGGATAACCCAAAAATCCAGACAAAGTGCTATACTCTGCTTGAAGATGTGAGTAAAGGTGATGATGCAGTCTTGTGGCTCTCTCTGAGACAGAGAGCTAGATGGACAGACAGATAGACAGGGAGCTTGACAGACAGACAAATAGACAGACAGAAATGTTTGTGTACCAGCAAAAACAAAGGGAGGGCGATGGTCATCTAATCTTTTCTTATCAGCTGCACCCTCCCCCACCCTTGTTTATCAAATGTCAGCTCTTATCAGGTGTTATCTCCCCTTATCATGTCACTGTCAGGAGTGGACTTTGTTTTTCATGCTTCAAGGGAACATATTTTTACATATTATTATTATTATTATTATTATTATGTATTATTATTATTATTACTATTATTATTCTCCTCCTCCTCCTTCTCCTCCTCCTCCTTCTCCTCCTCCTCCTCCTCCTCCTTCTCCTCCTCCTCCTCCTCCTCCTCCTCCTCCTTCTCCTCCTCCTTCTCCTCCTCCTCCTCCTTCTCCTCCTCCTCCTCCTTCCCCTCCTCCTTCTCCTCCTTCTCCCCTTTCTCTCTCCTTCCTCTCCTTCTCCTCCCTTTTCCCTCTCTCTTCCCCCTCTTCCTTCTCTCTTCCTTTCTCTTCTCCTCTCTCCTTCTCCTTCTTTTCTCCTCTCTTTCCTCCTCTCTTCCTTTTCTTTCTTCTTCTCTCTCCTCCTCCCCTTCTCCTCCTCCTCCTTCTCCTCTCTCCTCCTCCCTCCTCCTTCTCCTCCTCCTCCTCCTCCTCTCCTCCTTCCTCCTTCTCCTCCTCCTCTCTCTCTCCTTCTCCTCCTCCTCTCCCTCCTCCCCTTCTCCCTCTCCTCCTCCTTCTCCTCCTCCTTCTCCTCTCCTCCCTTCTCCTCCTCTCTTCTCCCTCTTCTCCTCCTTTTTCTCCTCCTCTCCTTCTCCTCTTCTCCTTCTCCTCTCCTCTTCTCCTCTCCTCCTCTCCTTCCTCCTTCTCCTCCCCTTCTCCTCCTCCTCTCCTTCTCCTCTCCTCTCTCTCCTTCTCCTTCTCCTTCTCTCCTTCCTTCTCCTCCTCTTCTCCTTCTCCTTCTCCTCCTCCTCTCCTCCTTCTCCTCCTCTCCTTTCTCCTTCTCCTCCTCTCCTTCTCCTCCTCCTCCTCTCTCCTCCTCCTCCTCCTCCTCCCTCCCTCCTTCTCCTCCTTCCCTTCTCCTCCTTCTCCTCCTCCTTCTCCTCCTCTCCTTCTCCTCCTTCTTCTCCTTCTCCTTCCCTTCTCCTCCTTCTCCTCCTCTCCTTCTCCTCCTTCCTCCTTCCTCCTCTCCTCCTCTCCTCCTTCTCTTCTCCTCCTTCTCCTCCTCCTCCTCTCCTTCTCCTCCTCCTCCTTCTCCTCCTTCCTCCTCTCCTTCTCCTCTCCTTCTCCTCCTTCTCCTTCTCCTCCTCTCCTTCCTTCTTCCTCTCTTCTCCTCCTTCTCCTTTCCTCCTCCTCCTTCTCCTCCTTCTCCTCCTCCTCTCCTCCTCCTTCTCTCCTTCTCCTTCTCCCTTCTCCTTCTCCTTCTCTCTTCTTCCTCCTTCTCCTTCTCCTCCTTCTCCTCCTCCTCCCTTCTCTTCTCCTTCTCCTTCTCCCCTTCTCCCTCCTTCTCCTTCTCCCCTTCTCCTTCCTTCTCCCTTCTCCTTCTCCTCTTCTCCTTCTCCTCTCCTTTCCTCTCCTCCTTCTCCTTCTCTCCTTCTCCTCCTTCCTCCTTCCTCCTCTTCCTCTCCTCCTTCCCTCCTCTCCTTCTCCTCCTTCTTCCCTTCTCCTCTCTTCTCCTCTTCCTCATTATTATTATATACTTCCACATATCCAAAACATTGCTGGGACATATAAATACTTTGTATATATTCCAAGACAATAGTAAATGACCAAGGCAGGTGTAAATGTCCACCTGTCAGTGTGTTTGTGACAATTTGAGTACAATTTCAGTACCTAATACTAGTGTCAGAACAAAGATTGGTTATGAAATGACAAGAACTACTATAAATTGTAATTATCAGAACATAAAAATTCCATAAAATAATATGAAAAATAAAAAAAAAGGTATATTGGCAACACTTCTGCAAGTGGCACGACTCGCTGGCACACGAGCATCCAGTGCCAACTTCTCGGCCTCATATCTCCGTAAGTACTGACCCTAAAAAACTTTTTTTTATTCTATAACACTTAGAAAAAGGTGCTCTTTTTTTCTATATAAAAAAAAAACGATTTTTTTTTCAAAATATTCGGGGCGCTGCGCAAGTGAACATATATATACATTTGGACCATTTAAGGGTTAATCTTAGTAGCATTATCGACAATGTTAGGTAAACGGACACAAGTGCAACTAATGTGACATCTTATTGTGGCAATGTTTTGCTCTCCACAATAAAATGTCACATTAGTTACACTTGTGTCCTTTTACCTAACACAATACATTTTCAACTCAACAGTATTAGTCCCATTTTAAGTCTGTCCAAAATGTTTTACATCCTATAGCCTTTCAAATATTTTTTACAATTATGTATACATTACAGAAATAAATTATTAATTAATATTCTATTCTCTGTTTATATTGAAAACAAGCTAGAAGAGCATTGAGATGAACCATGAGAGAAGCACCACACAGCCTTGTGACTACACTGGCTACTAATGACTCGAAACTCTTAGCAAAAAGTCTTACTGAACCGTAGTTTACAAATTACCCATCACTGGGACAAAATAATCCAGAGACAAAATCCGAGAAGAACAGCTGTATATTTTGACCTCCAACTCCAACAAAGGTCATTTTCAGCAGATGCATCTACAGATGAGAACTTTAGTTAGGGGCCAGAATATAATTATCCTACTTGTTCTTCTTTCATGCAAGTTAATTCCTCTTACTGAACAACAATTTACAGATTACTGAATCACAATTTATAAAATTTTGATATTTTATATATATCTCCATGGGGAAATGGAACAGAATTCTTCCTCTGTAAGCCATGCATGTTGTAAGGGGTGACTAAAATGCTGGGAGCAAGAGGCTAGTAACCCCTTCTCCTGTATAAATTACTAAATTTATAAAGAGAAA